CCCTAAGTAGGTGAAAGGTAACTTGCCCTCTCTCATATGAAGTGCTCTTTGCATATTAGCTTTGATTTCTGGCTTCACTCTCGGACCTGTGTAGAAATGGCTTTTGTTGAGGTTGATAAGATGTCCAGATGATTTAAGGAAACAGTCCAGCAGCCCTTTGAACCTGAGCAAGTTTCTGAAATGACCACTAAGGAAGAAATTTATGTCATCCGCATATGCAAGGTGGGAGGGGGGATGGTTTCTCCCTGTATGAATGGCTTTTAAGGAACCCTCCTCAACCTTCCCCTTAATAAGTCTACTTAGGCCTTCATTTCCAAGGATAAAGAGGAGGGGGGATAGAGGGTCCCCTTGCTTAACCCCTCTCTTCATTTTGAAAAACCCATGTGGAGTTCCATTAATGAGGATGGAGAAGTGGGTTGCCTTGAGTGTGGATAAAAGAAGGTAGCATGACTGGGGGGAGAAACCAAAAGAGCTTAGAGTAACCTCTAAGAATTGCCATGAAATTCTGTCAAAAGCTTTGGCGAAGTCCACTTTGATAGCAATGTTGGCGCTTCCAGAAGTGTTGTCAAGGCAGTGAATCATCTCCTGAGTGAGGAGGATGTTTTCTTCCACTCCTTTACCTGCTTGAAACCCACTTTGCTCAGGACTGATGAGTTTGTGAAGGATTGAACCCAGTCTATTTGCAAGGATTTTAGTATTGACTTTGGAGAGGAATGTGGATAATGAGATCGGCCTGTAGTCTCCCAGAGATTTAGGGTTGTCCACCTTAGGAATCAGAGTGAGGAGAGTCGCCCCATAGGATTTAGGGATGGGCAAACCCAAGAAAAATTCTTGGGTTGCTCTAGTCACTTCATCATGGATGATGTGCCAGTAGGTTTTGAAGAAGGTCCCATTGTATCCATCCGGGCCTGGTGCACTATGAGAGTTGAGGTCCCAAATGGCCCCCCTTATTTCCTCCTCTTGTGGAACCGCACAAAGCATTAAGTTATCCTCTCCATTAATGATATTGGGAATG